CATTGCCTTTTGTTGTGCTGGCGCCTGGGTTAATTTCCATCTTTATCCTGATTAAGCTCTATAATCTTTATCCTGTCGACTTAACCGTTCTGTGGCAATATCGTTGCGGGGTTTCTTGTTGTTGGATGCGAATGGTGAGATTTGATTGAAGCGCAGTCGTTGGGTGGTAAGTGAAGCACACAGTTAGGAATAATCAGGACACATGATTATTTTGAAAATAAAAGGTAACTGGATTGGAGGAAAGAAAGCTTGAGAAGAGCGGGGTGGTTTTGATTTGTCCTTAACTAATCACATGGCGGTGATTGTACTTAGCTGTGGGATGAGCCGAGGGAGAGAGGTCTAAAGCCGATGTCACCTCCTTGGGAGCCAAAGCGTAACTCACTATTCTTGTCTTTCGATTTAACACCACGAGTCAGTTTCTCTCTGATTGGTTGAGAGATCTCACATGATCTTTCCCTATTGGTTGACCTACTTAAGGTGCTATCTTCTGATAGGCCGGCGGTTTCCTTTGGTGAAAGATATGATCTGCTTTAATAGGAAGTGTCGAGTGCCATTTTGACTTTATTTACTTCCGTGTTATCAAATACGTCCTATCTTTGCCGGAAATGTTGGGCGTTAGCTTAATATTTATAACTTCTGGTCACCAAATACATCCTGTTTTTCCAGGAAGTGTCGAGTGCTTCTTGTCTAATATAACTTCTGCGGTCACTAGAGACGACCGGTCTCTGCCCCTGCAATGTTGACACAGGGGTGCCAAAATAGTCGTGCCCGCTTTAGTCTTACTTCCTATATCTTTTGTTACTTTCTTTCCTCCAGTTACCTTGTTCTTTATTAAGTCTTTGAAAATCATACATGGTACATACATAGTGGGTCGGGGTTGCATTTAATTATATACAAATTATGACATATATAATTATAGATGTAAATTTTGCCGGGAGGAAAATGATCTAAAAAGACAAGTGTTGCCTCTCCCGTCAAAATAGACATCTAAGACAGATGCCATCTATTGACCGTCGCCGCAACTAGATGGCGTTTGTCTTAGACGTCTATTTTGACGGGAGAGGCGACAATTGTCTTTTTATATATAATTATATTACAGTGAATTTCGCCTATTTATGTTTTTTTAATGGATTTTTCATAATATAAAACTATAAGTAAGCAAATTTCACTGCAATAGAGTTATATATACAATTTTGTAATACGTATTATAAAATAAATTTTAGCATAAATAAATTAAAATTTTTACAATTTTTTTAAAATTAAAAAGGCATATATTGGATCAAAATTTCATTTATTTTACCACAATATTTCAGTTGACTGTACGCCAACCTTTATCAAGGTATTATAAGATATATAATATCTATAATATACACTGCGTGACATTGAAAATGGAACACCAAGAAATAGTGGCCAGAAAGTGATGAAACTCGGCAGACAGAGAGACAGGGACGAACAATAAGTGATCTTTATTTCAAAATGATAGTCAGAATACAGAGCGAGAACGGCGTCGGCTTAGTAGCAAGTAAGACCAAGGCGGACGGCGATGCACGCAGCAACACGTCTAGGTAGAGAGTCATTCAGAGTACGGATGGCGTCCTGAGGGATGGCTCTCCATTCCCTCTCAACCATTTGCCACAGTTCGTCTTCTGAACGCGGCTGTGGCAAGGCATGCAAACGGCGTCCAATGATGTCCCAGACGTGCTCGATTGGTGAGAGATCAGGAGAGTACGGTGGCCAGGGAAGCATCTGTACATCTTGCAGAGCTTGTTGGCTAATGCGAGCAGTGTGCGGTCGGGCGTTATCCTGCTGATAAAGGGCATTGGGTACCCCCTGAAGGTAGGGGAGTGTCATCGGTCGCAGCACATCATCAACGTATCGTTGGGCCGTCAGTGCCCAGAATACGAAGTAAAGGTGACCTGGAATCATACGCGATTGCGCCCCAAACCATGATTCCACGTTGTCGCACGGTGGGGCGTTCCACAATTGCTGCCGGATTCGACCTTTCTCCACGTCGACGCCACACGCGTACACGGCGACTATCACTGGACAAGCAGAAACGCGACTCATCTGAGAACACGACCCTGTGCCATTCCGTCATCCACGTCGATCTAGCCCGGCACCATTCCAAACGTTGGCGCCTATTCGGTGGGGTCAATGGCAGTCTTCTTAGCGGACGGCATGAGTGCAAGCCATTAGCAACCAATCGACGGGAAATGGTTCTGGTCGAGATGGAATGATCTAGGGTCTCTTGCACATGTTGCAGGATGGCGGTACAAGTGGCTTGTGGGGCCGCCACTGCTTGTCGAAGGATACGCCGATCCACACGTGCTGACGTCACTCTGGTTGCACCGGCATTCCTATAAATTGCCACATTTCCTTGTTCCAACCATCTTCTCCACAGTCGGTGCACCGTGGACGCACCAAGGTGTGTATCAGCTGCGATTTGACGTATGGACCAACCTGCCCTTTTCAGTCCGATCACCATGCCCCTCGTAAAAGCGTCTGTCTGCTTGAACTGCCTCCGTTTACGATGACCTGGCATTCTCTGTTATTACACGTGTCTTTTGACACAAGAACAAAATTTCTACAATGATTTTCCTTGAAGAAATAACGACACGAATATTGTCCTTTCTGCAAGTTCTTTCCCTTATATCTTACTCCATGTGCGCACGAAAGCTGCGCATTTTACATCATTTGCATAAGTCGGTTAGGCGCGTCTACCCTGAAATTTGCATAATTTTCTGGCCACTATTTCTTGGTGTTCCATTTTCAATGTCACGCAGTGTATGTTATAATACCTTGATAGAGGTTGGCGTTCAGCTAACTGTAATATTGGTAAAATAAATGATATTTAGATCCAATATATGTCTTTTTAATTAAAGATTAATTTATGGATTGCTCTATTTTCAAATATATATATGTCATAATTTGTATATACCAAGATGTAACCCCACCACAATATATGCAATGTATGATCCAAAAGGTTTTAATAAAGGTTAGGCCTAGCGAACTGGAGAGAGAACAAGCCATTACCAGGATTTCATTATCCAGGAAGTAAAGGTTATTACCCAGGAACTATAAAACTGGGTTCAAAGACCTTCTTCTTCCTGGAGAATGGTAATCATGAAAAAGACAATGGAGGCACCAAGATCTAATCAGAGTTTAGCATGCATAGCTAACATCCAACCAAAAGTCGCCACGTTTCAACCAATGAGAGCAATAGAGAGTTAACGAGGTAAATCTCGGACTCAAGTTAGGCAGTTGGGAGCTGGACACCACAAGAAGCAGGACGCTTAAGCCCTTCTCATCACTAAAGGTAACTTCTATGTTCAGAATGTAATAGTCAAGTACTCCATTAGTCAAAAGCCCTTCTCTTCCTTAATCGCCTGGTCCTATATTCAATCCCATTCTGTGTCTCTCGTTATTTCCCCTGTGAGAAAACCTACCATTTCAGCCAAAAACGACTGCGCCATCAATCACCCCAAGTCAACCCCCTCAAGTAAGTCAACAGGGTCTTACAACAATCAACAAACAAAAAAGGGTCCCAATCCAAACAACAACCAATCCGAAACGATAATATTATAGAGAGTCGACAGGATTCTCACATATATATATTTTTTTTCGGCGTGTATATAGTTAGGTGGCAGTCATACTTCTAGTTCTCTTGTTGAAGGGCATGTTGGCTTGAAACCTGATTTTTACAATAAAAATAAACTCATTGTGGAAAATATTTGTTTTTTTGAACAATTATATCTTATATAATATATATTCGAAACTATTTTAAAGGAGTAAGATATTTTTGAAATTAAACAATTTCTACTGCCCTTACTGCAATGGAAAAATTAAAGGGAGGGCCTGGCTTATAAGTGGTGAACCCCCCAAGCGTTTTCGCCAGTTTAATCTACCATACCGCTGTTATATTGCATCTACGGTATGGTAGATTGAACTGGCGAAACCGCTGGGAGGGTTCACCACTGATGAGCCAGGCCCTCCCATTAATTTTTCCATTGCAGTAAGGGCAGTAGATATTGTTTAATTTCAAAAAGAATCTTACGCCTTTAAAATAGTTTAGAATTTTAATAACAGATGGCGCGCTAGTGCATCATATAATATATATAACAAACTGTTTTGATACTTCAGAAATAGATAGAATGTTTTGAATATTTACATATAGTGCTCCAGCGATATGTAATTAAAGAAAGAGGAAAACTTCCTTCATTCATTAAACTCCCCAAGACAACGTAAAAACTCAAGTGCTGATGTAAAAAGAGGTTGTTGGCGTTTGCATATTTTTTTCAACCACCACAAGCTGATCACTAATTTGATGTGGGGAGGTATATATAAAAAAAACTCTTCTGATGGAATTAACTTTTTCTTCTGACAGATTAATAAGTTAATTAGTCGTTTATTAATTGAGAGAGTGTCGTCTGCTTGGGAAACTGATATCCTAATGATGAACTCAGTACTTTGATGAATTAATGATTACAGAAGGTATTTACATATTGGGAAGTTTTATGTTGAAGAACATCTTCCTCAAGAAAGTTTTAAATATTTATAAGTTATTGTTCTTTTTAAAACACAAGATGACACGTAATACAATTTCTTTTTGAAGTTCATAAATCATCAGAAGATGTCATTTAAAAGTCAAATAAGAAATTTGACGGTTGAATATCATCATAAAAATATCACAGATTATTTGGTTTATATTCTGTGTTGTATTGAGAACTCGTTTTGAAAGGGGATATGCCCACTTAGAGTAATTTCTTTTTTGCTTAACCCTAGTACACGTGGTACAGGCCATGATAATCATGGTGGGTAGATGTAGACGACTGCATTTACTGTAAGTGCACCACATGTCTACACATGTGAAAAGAAGTTCGACTTTGCACTTACAAATATGCCAGAGCCTCGTTTGGTTACTTTCACTCGCTGGTGGGGTTGGACTTTTGCAAGAAACGGGGGCCATTGGAGCATTTTTTTTTCCTAATTAGAAAAAAAAGTGCCTAATGCGGGAATCGAACCCGGGTCGTAGCGGTCGAAAACCAATGGTCGAAGAACATCCTTCCACCGACACCCTGCTTAGAGCTTAGAGTAATGAAGTAAACAAGCTGTCAAATATTTCGTGGAAGAAATCGAAGATTCTATTTATAACGATGACAAGGACATTTTTATTGATACTCAGTCAATGATCATTAAAAAACGCAACGAAAAAATATTGAATTTAAATTATTTACAGTAGACTGGTATCACGCTGAAGGGATGTCTGGAATTCCTCAATGTCACAAGACACTATGTGTTGATCAAAAGTTTGGTTTTCTTCTTGACAGTGCGTTCAGGTGTGGTTTGACAATGTCATCTTGTATTAAGTCATGTCATATCATTCTATTGTGAATGTTACCTCTCGGTGGAGATTGAAGGATTGAAAGATGATGCCACTCTTTTAAGATATCTTGTGGAATGATCTGTTGTATACAGATTGGTCTATTAACTGTATGGAATATTTTTTATCTTGGGAATAGACGAACATCCTGGGAAACGTGTAGAAAAAGGTGAAACCTACACCGACAATATAAAAAGTTACTATATTTAATTAAAAAGGCATAGACACACTAGATAACCAATATACAGTCATAGAGACAAAATTTGAGGAAATTGTACCTTTTAACATGTATATCGGGATTCAGACAATAACTCTGAAAGATATTACAGTGACCTTTATTGAAGTCATAAGAGATAACCAATATACACTCATGGACAAAACTTAAGGAAGTTGTACCTTTTAGCATGTATATCGGGATTCAGACAATAACTCTGAAAGATATTACAGTGACCTTTATTGAGGACATACGAGATAACCAAGTGTGAACAATATCTGTCTTCTCCAAAAAAACATATTACTAGAAGCATCAAAAACTTTCCACTTCCTGAAATTTGCCAATGAGTGTATTTCGAAATAATATTTTTCTTTCTCAAAGAGAGAGAAAGATAAGTTCAAGTAATAGCTTATTTACATAATTACATATTCTAGTATATCTATATATGTTTATTATATTATACACGGTGATCCAAAAGTCTTGCACAAATTTAAAAATCATTAACTCCGCGAATATTTACGCTAGAGCAATGCGGTAACCACCATTGTGTTCAGGATGCAATGGGATATTTTAGGGCAATATTCTTGTTTTGAAAAAGAACACATAAACACGAAGCATTTGGCTATCTATGGATCCAGGGTTACCATCAAATTCGACACTAGTTAAAGCTTGCTAGTTAACGTGTTTAGCTTATCCCTAATTAAGTTAGTTTTAATTAATGATCTCTCTATCAACTCTCTTTGAAGTTTCTTAATTGAAATCTCTTAATCGACACCGGGGCTCCATCGTTTTAAATTGATACGTTCACCTCCTTTAAATATCTTAACAGAAATAAGATAGAAAAGTTTGAAAGTTTGATAGCAAGTAGTGCGCTCTATATGAAAATATATTTCTATTCATGATACAATTGTGAAAAACTTTTAAAATCACAAAATATATTCTCACAATGAGTTTGTTTTTATTACAAAACGCTAACTTTCAAGTGATAATCGCTCTTCAACGGGCTTAATAAAACATCGACTTTATCTTACAAGAAATATTTTTTAAAACCTATAAGATATAGTCGTTATTGATGTATTAAGCCCTTTGAAAAGAGATTATCACTTGAAAGTTAGCGTTTTGTAATAAAAAGAAACTCATTGTGAGAAAATATTTTGTAGTTTTAAATGAAATCCATAAATATATCTTTAATCCAAAAGGTATATATTGGATCAAAATATCATTTTGATTATTTCATAATGATATTTTGGTCCGATATTTGCCTTTTTAATTAATGAAGATATATATTAAAATGATAAATTTGCCGGGAGGAAATTGATCCTTAGAAGCATAGGGAGCCTCTCCCGTCAAAATAAACGTCAAAACCTGACGCCATCTATTGACCGTCGCCACAAACTAGAGGCCTCGGGTCGGTGACAAAGCCACAACACCAGCTTTGGCAAACTGAAAAGCGTCCACCTAGAGACCATGGTTTTGGGCTAATGGCCCTCGTCAGTTTAGGGCGGACTTTATTCCATGAGATCCACACGGGATCTAATGGAATATTCACAATCTACCAAAGAGGTGTTTATTTGGCAAAGTGGCTGGGCCAAATGCTTCTATAGATATATATTGAATCAATAATTCCTTCTCTAATGTATATATATACATAGCTGATTGCCACTAATGTTTTGTCTCGTTTTACACCAGTAGAAGGGTGATTGTGCCCGAAACCTGTGATTTTGTATATTAAAGAAACTCTTTCCTCGTCAAGTGGTTCGTTATAGATATATATAATGATAAATTAGTCTTATATAGAATTTTCTTAGGTTGTTTAAGGATACATGAGAATGTTTGTGATATTGCAGTCGTGGAAATAATAATAAAAACAGTTTAAATCATTATTTGCTTTAATATTGAGCTGATAGGCTCAATATTAAAGCAATTGAGGATGAAATAATACCCGACTTAAGGCAAGTTGAATAAAGAAAACAAAAGACTTATTTACATATCTTCAGAAAGAGCCGGCCAACAGGAAACAACAACAATGAGTTTTATATAGGGAAAGCAGTGACATCTGGTGGTCAACTTTACAGAGTACTTTATTCTATAAATTATAATTTTAGAATTAAATACAATTTCATATAACAGACGCAAAAAGTCGGTGGACGAGTAGGTAACACCTTCGATTCCCGACAGTCATGAACCGGGATTGAATCCCACGTTAACATTTTGTTTAATATGTGAATAACCATCACATATTATTCATTGTTTCTATTTTCATAAACTAGGTTGTTCTTGTTGAGCGGTACCTAATAAAGTTATTTTGGAACTTAGAGACGCACACACATATATATCAATTATGAAAAAGGCATCTCCTTATCGTGCAACTGAAAGTTGCTGATGGCTTGCGCCATCTATCGGAATAAATATCAACTATTCTCGTTGATTTTTAATTATTCCAGAATTGGCCAAATACCCATTCTTCCTAAAATTCCGATAGATGGCGCAAGTCATCAGCAACTTTCAGTTGCACGATAAGGAGATGCCTTTTTCATAATTTATGCACCTTATCCCAGTACAATGTCACATTTGTACTATTTTTTCATATATATATATATATATATTTTAAAAAGATGCATATATTGGATTTCTAATTATTTTTATTGTTCCAATATTTCGAGGGGCAACTCGCCTCTCTTTATCGAGGATGTTTGTGTTTTTCACTAGAACACGCGCGCACGCGTACACCACTCTCGTTCTACAAGGCCAATGAAAGAACTGTATCCTTGACTCAACTATTGCCTTCAGTTTATATACAGCAAATAATTATATTTATATTTAATATTATAGATTATTATTTTATCTATGGAAGATAAATATATATATATATTAGTAAATTAAATTTTATTGCCCTCTATCGTTAAAATTTTACACAAATAAATTTACTGGCAATGCGTTTCTTTTTTAAATCTCTACAGACCTTACTGCAATGATATGATTTAATGAATGAGAGGGCTTGGCTCATCAGTAGTGAACCCTCTCAGCGGTTTCGCCAAATTAATCTCTAGACCGCTCTACTATTGTATTGGACTGGTTTTGTTATATACCCTGCATTTTCTATGGAAGGCAGCTAAATGGTGTTTAGTGAACTATGGACATAAGCTTATAGGTCTGTAGAGGTACATACATATAAATTTCAAGGTATTGCATCGAGCAAAGCTCTTCCGCGCAAAACAAGTTTTCATAACCATTATATATTAGTAAATTAAATTTTATTGCCCTCTATCGTTAAAATTTTACAAAAATAAATTTACTGGCGTTTCTATATAATCAATGTACGCCTCAATGTCTATATTTTAAGTACATACCAAAATAGACACCTCTCCTTTTGAATATGAATTAAAACGATGAATTTTGTTTAACACACCGAGACAACGTAATGTTAAAGAATGAGCCTCAACACCAGTTATGGAAATTTCAAACAAAAAGCCAACAACCTATATACCATGGTTTCGGAATTTGATCTTTATTAGTAAAGGGGCGCCTTTGAATTTATAATTATGGGTCGCCGAAATGTCAAAAGATAATAAACGTTTATTAATAAATGTTGATTCCTGGTTCAAATTCACATAAATAGGTACCGCTCAGCAAGAGCAACCTAGTTCATGATAATTGAAACAATGAATAATATGTGAAGGTTATTCACATATTAAACAAAATGTTAACGCGGGATTCAATTCCAGTTCATGACTGTCGGGAATCGAGGGTGTTACCTACTCGTCCACCGACTTGTTGAAATGTTGATTAAGTTTCCAAATTGAATTAATACAATATTTCAATCTACAATAATGGTATTCTCATAAAGAAGATTTCTATAGAATCTTTTAATCCTTGAGAGAGTTGGAAGATAGGTGAATGCACTGATTGAAATGTTGATGGATTGCAATAAGGAATAGTTGAACCATAATAAGTGTTTTATAAAAGGGCATACCTGGATCTATAAAGAAAAAAAAAAACATTTTTTTCTCAAAATATTTCGAGAGATTGCTCCCTCTTTATCAATTTATTGCACTGTGAATTTAATTTACAAATTCTTGTAGATCACATGGAAACAAATTTATCATTGGTCAAAAACAATTATTGATAATATTTCATTAAAAAAAATTAATAATAACAATGTATTATTATCAATAATTGTTTTTAACCAATGATAAATTTGTTTTCATGTGATCTACAAGAATTTGTAAATTAAATACACTGTAGAATGAATTGATAAAGAGGGAGCAATCTCTCGAAATATTTTGAGAATTTTTTTTTTTTTGTCTTTACAGATCCAGGTACACCCTTTTATATAATATTAATTAATGGATCGCCTTTTTTGACTCAAACATAATAAGTGTGTTTCATTCATAGTGAATTTCAGTGGATTGCTGTGTATTGCTCAAGATATTATACTGTTATCACTGTGGTAGGATGAGAGATTGATAGAAAATAATAAAAACTTGAACCCGTTTGTTATGTTTTTTGGTTGTA